TGCAACTTGAAATTGCTATACAATTCCAGTATTACAGTTTTTCCAATTTTACACAAGACACATGGTCTAGATGCATAGCATCTACAACCTTAAACCTAAGTGTTTCACACACTTACAGTAAAGCAGTGTAGGGATTTCATGAACAGGACACTGATGCGCCACTGAATCACCATCATGAGGCTTCAAATTAATTCAATCAGGAGTCAACAAAGCTTTCTTTGTATCAGGACTGAGGGGAGTTCATTCACAACATATAGAAACCCCGATGTCTTGTGACCACCAATGGATGGAACCATTATGTCCAAACAGGAAAAGGATAAGTAAATTAACTGATGCCCTCAGCACTTGCAAAGCACGGGATATACAGCGTGGCGCCACATGACTTTCGACCATCTGCTTCCTGCATGTCTGAAACCCTTGCAAAACTTATCTGACAACAAAAGAAACAGAACCTTGCATGATGATTTTAACAGACAATCGTTTAAAACGTATAAGTAGTGAAAATGTATCCACTGTATGTGTTATTTGTTTATCGAAACCATGATATCTCAATCCTGGCCTTATAACTTTCCTTTTAGTTACTACGATTACTGTGTATGCAAAATACCTGTTGTTTGAGCTCGAATGAAAGCTTGTTTATTCACGGAACATTGGTGTTAGGGAAAAGTTTATATTGTGTATCATTTCCCGGTGATGATATTTTTATAAGAAGTTCTTAAAATCATTGCAGAAATACTCGCCACAGACGGCATGTGAGTCATGCATGATAAGGAACAGTATGGGGCGTGGCTAAACCCCGCAGCCACCATCTGATTGGACCGCGACCTGTGGGCTGGACAAAAGTCAGCCTGCTTAAAAGTGGACACTAAAGCTGTAGCTGTGTCTCAAGCTGTGTCTCATTTAGAAGGCTGCACCCTCCGGAGGTCGCATTCGAAGGCTGCATACGTCATCGAGGCTGTCTCATTTCAGAAAAGCAAGTAGGACACTTCGAATGTGACCTTCTTTCACAGGAAATGTAGTGCCATCCCATAACTCCCTTATACAATTAATGAGTTAATTTCATAACAGCAGTCATGTGTTTTAAAAGAATAAACTCAACTAGTCTTTGTGCACATGCAATTCCACAAACAACTATAATGTGCTCTATGTGCACAATGTGTTTAACACAATTATATTTTTTAATAAAAATGAAATGTATACCCGACTTCAGGAAGATACATAGTATGGAGCATATGAAATACACTCCACACTACGGGCTGATCTGGCTACAGAATCGCAATGACTGATTTGCAATTTTCTCTTAAATACTACCAGAACAAAAACAAAGAAATCTTTAAATTGGTTGTAAAAACATAAAAGGCCTTTTGGTTTATTAGGTTGCCGTGCTCCAGGGTTGCATCTGGCTGGAGATAGATAAACTTTCCCACAGGCTATAAAGGGGAACACATCCCCTCCTCAGCAGAACACAATTCTACAAAAGTTTTCAATATTTCTTATAATACAAGTGACTACTATGAAATTGAGACCAATTTACCAATCGCACAAAGACCTTCAGAACAATACCAAACATGAAAGGGAAACAACATATTCACAAGATATAACCCATGTGGCATATGGATATTCTTGCTTTTGGGGGAGAAGAGGGTAGAGTTAGAGGCAGGGAGGGGAGAGGGAGGAACGGGGTCATAAATGAGCAAGGGGAGGTGTTGTTTATTTTTTTCTCTTTGGAGATCCCTTCTCCAGATCAGATTTATTGTTTTATTGCCCGACATCTGTCCTGTGTGAGTTCCTGATATTTCGCTTCATGAGGAGTTAATTTCATAAGGAAATAATTTCACTCCTTGCAGTACATAGTGTTTCAAAGCAGCTTCTCAGAAAGTTATATCTTATTGTCTTATTGTAATGCCTAAATGCAATGTTTCTTAATTCCAGTCCTGGGGACACATCTCCCAAAGTGTTTTAGATATATCAAAAAAAATTTAACACCTGATTCATCTCATCAGCTGTGTTAAATAGGCAGAAAAGACTGAGATCTAAAACACCCTGGGAGGTGGGTCTCGAGGACTGGGGTCAATATGTATCAATATGCATTTGGTTTATTGGATCACAAGTAGACAACAGAAACACATTCCTGTTCACAATTGGTGTTTTAGTTTACCTCTCTTGTCCTCTTTTGACCACTTCTTAGCGGATTTATTTGAGGAGAGGGTCTATGGGCAGGTCACTCTTAATTTGGTCATCACCAATGTTACATCAGTATTAGCTTCTTGTGTTGTTAGCAAACAGATAATGCTGTATGTATTGTAAGCTTTTTCATATCTTTCGGTCTAAAGGATAAAATACATATCAAAGGATGTGACTGAAAAATATAAACACATCTGTCTAGTGAAATTCAACAATTCGTTGCACAGTCATTATCTGTAGGTGGAGAGGAGGTGGTCTTTTGTGGCAGTTCAAACACATTCGACCACATCTACACTAAGAAAGCAATCTGATCAAATGTGTTTTTGGCTACCTCTTGAAGTGGTCAAAAGTGGACATACTCAAAACCCAGTTTTCACCTGTATTTAGCAATGTCCCCTTTGAATCTGATGAACAAAAATGCATATTAATACCACGTGTAAACAGGACCTAAATGTTTAGACAGTGAAGAGCTGTGGGAGCATGTCCTCATTTGGCATTACAATAAATGTGCATCTAGTTACATCATGTGTAAAATGCAAGAATGAAATAATTAAATTATTTATAACTGTTTAAGTATTTAAAAAGTAATGAAAATAATTTTATTGTAAGGACAGTTATTACATTGATTAGTCTTTAGTGTCTGCATACGGTTTGTTAAAAAAAATCCCGCTCATTTATTCTACTCAGTTTAAATAATTTGCTGTGAAAGAAGTCAGTTATCCGAATAGAGAAGATGATTAATGTGGACAAATGTAAATGTGCTGTGTTGTGATTGGGTGATGATCCAATCTGGCTCATTCATTCATGGTGATTTCATGTTAAAACCATGTGTAAACGGGCTGATAGATTCCTTAAGTACACAAGAGATGTATAGACCATTGTAAAGATCACCCAATGGACCAATGGCGGAATCCAATGGTATGGGTGAAAATATTCTGTAACCATTTTACTTATACATTGTACTTAATTTATTAAAATTGTTCAACTTTTAGATCTGTGCTTAATCTGACTCCAATTTCAGATGATTGTAAAAAATATAGATTATTATTCATTTAGTTCTGTGGTATTAATTTGGATATTTGACCATTCTATCATTATCCAAGTTTTTAATTATTTATTACAGTGGGTCTGAAAGTTATAACTTTTATAAGTGGGTTATAACTTTTTATGCTTAAATTGTATTGATGTTGTGTCTTTTGTACGTTGTGATCAGATCGGTGCCGTCCTCTACATTCCACTATCAGACACACATCATGGAGGACAAAACTGAAGCAGTCCTACAGACACACACACTGGAGACTGGGGACCTGCAGAGAGTTAAATACCAGCATAAATCCAGTATGAAGAATAAATATGAGAGATTATTTGAGGGAATGAAACTCCAAGAGAATGAAAACCTCCTGAACCGGATATATGCACAGCTCTACATCATAGAGGGAGAGAGTGAAGGAGTGAATGAGGAACATGAGGTTTTACAGATGGAGAAAACAGCCAGAACAAAACACTCACAAGACACTCCAATCTACTGCAATGACATCTTTAAAGCCTCACCTGAAGCAGGATGTGAAGAGAAAGATCAGATCAAGACTGTTCTTACTAAAGGCATCGCTGGAATTGGAAAAACCATCTCCACTCAGAGCAGGAGGATGTTAAAGCTTCTGTCAGCCTCTTTATATTAATTTGGTCATCACCAATGTTACATCAGTATTAGCTTCTTGTGTTGTTAGCAAACAGATAATGCTGTATGTATTGTAAGCTTTTTCATATCTTTCGGTCTAAAGGATAAAATACATATCAAAGGATGTGACTGAAAATATAAGGAAAGCAACACATCTGTCTAGTGAAATTCAACAATTCATTGCACAGTCATTATCTGTAGATGGAGAGGAGGTAGTCTTTTGTGGCAGTTCAAACACATTCGACCACATCTACACTAAGAAAGTAATATTATCAAATGTGTTTTTGGCTACCTCTTGAAGTGGTCAGAAGTGGACATACTCAAAACCCAGTTTTCACCTGTATTTAGCAATGTCCCCTTTGAATCTGATGAACAAAAATGCATAATAATACCAGGTGTAAACAGGACCTAAATGTTTAGACAGTGAAGAGCTGTGGGAGCATGTCCTCATTTGGCATTACAATAAATGTGCATCTAGTTACATCATGTGAGAAATGCAAGAATGAAATAATAAAATTATTTATAACTGTTTAAGTATTTAAAAAGTAATGAAAATAATTTTATTGTAAGGACAGTTATTACATTGATTAGTCTTTAGTGTCTGCATACGGTTTGTTAAAAAAAATCCCGCTCATTTATTCTACTCAGTTTAAATAATTTGCTGTGAAAGAAGTCAGTTATCCGAATAGAGAAGATGATTAATGTGGACAAATGTAAATGTGCTGTGTTGTGATTGGGTGATGATCCAATCTGGCTCATCCATTCATGGTGATTTCATGTTAAAACCATGTGTAAACAGGGGCTGATAGATTCCTTAAGTACACAAGAGATATATAAACCATTGTAAAGATCACCCAATGGCCCAATGACGGAATCCAATGGTATGGGTGAAAATATTCTTTGTACTTGTATTGTACTTAATGTATTAAAATTGTTAAACTTTTAGCTCTGTGCTTAATCTGACTCCAATTTCAGATGATTATAATAAATATAGATTATTATTCATTTAGTTCTGTGGTATTAATTTGGATATTTGATCATTCTATCATTCTCCAAGTTTTTAATTATTTATTACAGTGGGTCTGAAATTTATAACTTTTATAAGTGGGTTATAACTTTTTATGCTTAAATTGTATTGATGTTGTGTCTTTTGTACGTTGTGATCAGATCTGTGCTGTCCCCTACATTCCACTATCAGACCCACATCATGGAGGACAAAACTGAAGCAGTCCTACAGACACACACAGTGGAGACTGGGGACCTGCAGAGAGTCAAAGACCAGCATAAAACCAGTATGAAGAATAAATATGAGAGATTATTTGAGGGAATGAAACTCCAAGAGAATGAAAACCTCCTGAACAGGATATATGCACAGCTCTGCATCATAGAGGGAGATAGAGAAGGGGTGAATGAAGAACATGAGGTTTTACAGATGGAGAAAACAGCCAGAACAAAACACTCACAAGACACTCCAATCTACTGCAATGACATATTTAAAGCCTCACCTGAAGCAGGATGTGAGGAGAAAGACCAGATCAAGACTGTTCTTACTAAAGGCATCGCAGGAATCGGAAAAACCATCTCTGTGCAGAAGTTCATTCTGGACTGGGCAGAGGGAAAAGCCAATCAGGATGTAGATTTCATGTTTGTGCTTCCATTTCGAGAGCTAAACTTGATCCGAGATCATCAGTACAGTCTTCACAGAGTTCTGCTGGACTTTCATCCTGAACTTCAAGATCTGGACTCAAATATTTATGAGGAGTGTAAAGTTGTGTTCATCTTTGATGGTCTGGATGAAAGCAGAATCACACTGATGTTTTCAGACGCTCAGAAAGTTTGTGATGTGACTGAGACTTCATCAGTGGCTGTGTTGATGTCAAAGCTCATGAAAGGAGAGCTGCTTCCCTCTGCTCTCATCTGGATCACCTCCAGACCAGCAGCAGCCAATCAGATCCCCTCCAAATACATCAACCGTCTGACAGAAATTCAGGGATTCACTGAGCCTCAGAAGGAGGAATATTTCAGGAAGAGAATCAGTGAGCAGCATCAAGCCAGCAGAATCATCTCACACATCAGAAGAGCAAGAAGCCTCCACATCATGTGCCACATCCCCGTCTTCTGCTGGATCTCATCCACTGTGCTTCAGAAGCTCCTGGAAGAAGATCTGAGTGCAGAAATCCCTCA